TTTATATATATATAAAAGGTATTAAAACAACATTGTTAATTAGTATAATTTGGAAAGTTTGCTGGATGCTTGGCTAAAGTCACTAAGCCACCATGCTTATTTCAAGCTCACATGGAATGCTAAGCATGGGTTTCCCCTTATGAAAGAAAGAAAAAAAAACAAGCTGTTCACCTTATTTTATCAAATAAGGCAGGAAAGCAAAATATTAAAGTATGTTGCTGCTGCTGAGGCGGCCAAAACAGGAAGCTATAACTGAAGGCAGAGAAAAATGGCTGCAAGTATTGAAACCAGGCAAGACCCTTCTTTCCCACCCACCTGGCACAGCCGAATCCCCACGCAACTTTTGGCTAGGGTTGCTTTGCCCCCGCAAGTTAAAATGCCGTAAGAACTAGTAACTTTCAGATCCACACAATGAAGGAAAAAAAGAAGAAAAATTAAAAAGAAACAAACAAAGAGATTGCACGTGAATGGAAAGGCATGCAGGAAAGAACAGAAGTGGGTAGGCCAAAACCAGAAGATGGAGGACGACACAGCAGACTTCTGCGGGCTGAACCAACACCACGTGCGGAGGTGGTAAATACCTTTGACTTGCTCTCGGGTTGGGGGGGTCCTTCTTCTTTGCCATCTGCTTTGAGAGGAAGGGGTAGTTTGGACTCACCGGGTGTCATCATATCTGCAAGACCCATAGGTGCTAATCGAAAACAGGAGAAACAGTTAAGCATGACTATGTTTGGGTTTGTAGGCAAAAAACGCTTCCTGCTGCAAGATTGTGGCGACATGTGAAGCAGAGGTGATCCCACCTCTGTCCCGTTATTCTAGCGTCCGGAAACCTGGAAACCTCTTCAGTCGAAGTGAGGAAATAAAAGAGAATGAGCGAGGGGAGAATATAAGCACCGTGCAACAGCAGCGACAAACACTTTACAAAGTAAAATCCTTTTTTCGTGCTGCTGGTGGTCTTCAACTGTCTCCACATTTGTCCACTACATTTTAACAGATCATCAGTCTATTTTAATAACTATTGCACCTTTCCTTTAGCAACAGACAAACGTAAATGAAAATGACGCGCATTTTGCTTGCAATGGTGAATCTGAGAAAAAGGCTGAATTTCCCAATTACGTCTGCATTGAGATTGGTGTCCAGCAGATAATTCCTGCCCCTACCGACTTCAGTATGAATGGTGCAGCATTTGTGAGCCTTAACTACAGAATTACAAGCTGTAAACTCCGCTCTGTTGGAGAACCGGCACTCAACGTCTTCCCCTCCTGCCAAAATGAGGGGAGACTATAACGAACGCACAAATGTCCTTCTCTGATCATGGCACGCAGTTGCTTCCCAGGGGTGTGAGGACTTTAAGGGGTTTTTTTATTCAAAGATGCAAGTGCTAAGTATAGCATTATTGCTGCAGAGCTGCTGGATTCCTGGATTTCTAGAAAGATGCAAGGAGAAACATTCAGATAAATAGACAGAAAATACTGGGCAAAGCAGATGCCAGGAGGTGCCATGACACTGAATCAATGCCAATAACCAGAGAACAACAGCAAGACACCAGGTGATTCTTTTCCTGCGGAAAGCCATGTGCACAGCATTTATGGAAGACTGGATTATCTTCCCTTCCTTTCCCTTTTTTCTCCCCCTCATGCCCTTTGGTTTCAAAGAACGATCTGAGATAAGAAAAACATAGGATAGAATAACCTACAAGGCAATGAAAAAGGAAAAAAATGCATATCCCAAACTTACAAATTTTAAGAACTGGCTAAGCATCATTGTGAAAAAAATAATCTGATCATTACCAGACTAGCGTGACTCTCTGCAAAATGACAATGCTGGCTCGCACTAGGCAGCAGGCACACTGCATAGCAAGCCAAAGAGAGGAGGGGGAAAAGAAGCTTCAAAAATACTTCACAGATTGCCCACTACAAAATGATTATTGCACATATTCATGTATTACTATGTTTTAGAAAATAATTAGTTTTAATTACAGCAGTGAGAGCATGAGCAGGACTCTGGCGAATATGCTGGCAAGCTTTGCAGTGCTAATTTGCTAATATCTTTAGCATCACTGCAGGTTGAGACTATGGGTCTGCCAACAAAACCTACCCAGCCATGTGCCATGTGAGTTTACAACTCTATGCTCAATATTCAGCTTTGAACTGCCGGTGTTTTTCATGGGCACATTTTCTTGTTTTTTCAAAGCACATTTGTAGCCCAATCAAGCCCTTAAAGTCATCACAACATATAAATCATAATTGAGATTTTTTATTTTTTTTTTAAAATTACTTGCCATACTTAAGACTTCAAGAATTGGAACAAAAAGCCTTTCTCAAGTGATGCAGCTGCAGAGAAAAATCTATTGGGATCAGCTAAAAATGCTGTTATTTTTATGTATGTGTGTGAAATCTCAACAAAACAGCCAAGCAATATGACGCTGGGAAGCCAGCATCCACTAAGCATTTGATTCGTATGCATTTTGCCCTTATACTGCGTTTGAGCAGTTGGGGAAGCTTGTGACCATTATAAAGTGCAGGATGGCGGCCTAACACCTTTTAGTTTTGAATTTCACAGGGGTTTTGGGGGGTTTTTTGTTTTTTGTTTTTTTTTTTTTTAAAAAGTTATTTTTAGAGATTTTTAAAAAAATATATGTACAAAATGATCAAATGTATGCCACAGTCTGGTTTCAAACTGGGATGCAGAACTGTTATACAAAATCCATTTTAACAGTTAACACATTTCATGCTGTGAAAGCGCTAAAAAAGTCTTAGTTTTAGTTTCAAAGCAACCAAAGATGACCCTTCCCCTCTAAAGCAGTTTTAGAGAGGTCAAACAAAGCAAAGTTAACAATCACACTTCTTCACCAGAATTCTGCATGGCTAAATCCTCTGCTGATGTCTCACTGCTATCTAGGCTGGCATATTGTATTTCTATTACAAAGAATATAATAATTGTGCCCACTCCTGCTAGTCCTGTTTCCATCAGAATTCCTTTACAAAATCTCTTTTCCAGAGAGTTAACACCTCATGTAAAGCGCAAGTAACTCTAGTCTGCAAATTACTACACATATTCTGACTGTATTAACCATGTTTAGAAATGTAAAAATACTGACCCATTTTGGCTTTTTAGTATTTCTTGCTGGCATATGCAAATATAACTATTAGGAGTTGGAGACAATTATGAAAAAAATCAGTAAATTTTCCCAAATTCTGTTTCGCTTTGTTTTCTAAATTATTTACTTCACCTACAGCCTTTCTTTCTACCTATAAGAGGAGAACTGCAAGGATTTTACTAGCAAATTGCAAGGTTGTCTAGTTTCCCTCTGGCTTTTACCTAAGATGTTTCCACAGCTATTTTTCTATCTACTGTTGAAATGCTGTTTCATAACTTCTTGCAAACGTACTCTCCAGTGATTTGCAAACAGACATTCCTTCACTTTTTTTTAGCAAAGCGGTACAGAGAGAACATTGTTTTGACCCTTTCTGAGCAGTGAAATACTGTTATTGTCAGGAAACTGCTAAAATCAGACACTGTCTCTTTCTACACAGGTACTAATAATTCTGCATGTGAAGTGCAGACCAAAGGATAAAACATTTTAGAGAGGAGGATAACAGGGAAATCTTGACTCAAAAAGTGTTGTAGTGTACTGTGAACAGGTTTCAAGTACTAGCCTCTGGCTTATTATAAGAATTTAAGAGCTGGAATGATTTCAAAAAGCAAGTACGGGTCATGGTCTTGAATTAACTATTCCACACTGAATTTAATGTACTCAAAAGGCAGATATTGACATGAGTAAAACTGCAGCAAAGTATTCTTTTTTTGCTAAAGGCTGCTCTATCAGTCCCAGAAGATGATGAAATACTGTAGGAGCAGCAATACACAAACATTGTTTTTCTCTTTATTGCTAGTACAGTAACAAATCACACTCTACAAAACAAAATATCACATCCTTTCTAAGACATTCCTCCCTCCCCTCCACCCCTAGCAGACTCCCTCTGAAAAAAAGAGAAGAAAAAGAAAAAGCAGTGAATTTGTGACTCCTGGGGAGTTAGCGAGAGGATCCCTGCTGCCTTTATGCCCACAGGAAAATCGCAAGAGGGACGACAGCACTGCCTAATGTCCCACCACGAATGACCACCCTCCCTCTGGGGAAAACCACAGCCCAGGGTGCTCGGGCACCTTATCTGAAAAGCCGAGTGGGCTGCCAAGGACCTCAGCACCGCACCTCCTTTCTGCCCACCCAGCCTCCTCTGAGGGATGACACGTGCATGTGGTTTGGGACGTGGGCATCTCTGCGCCAGGAGCTGGCCTGATTTACAGTCACCCAATGACCACGGGATCACGGTCATCGCTTGTTTGGAGTATAGGTGATGGGATACCTCAGCTGTTACCTACTGCTGACATCCTCCAGAAAGGTTATTTAAATGTGCATTATATAACAGCTCATACAAAGATATGCGTTAGAGCAAAAAAATTCATGAAATAAATGGAAGTTGCCGTTTTTCAGAAAAATGTAACCAAGTTGCAAAACAGAGAAAGCCAATTAAGATTTCTAAAAAAAGCTTCATGTTCATAAATATGATTGCTCTCTCTATCAGATGTTCAGCCAAATAAATACAAAGTCAAATATATATAATATAAATGCAAAGGTAAGTGTTGTATCTATTTTTAATGTTATTTTTAAGAGCATCCCTTTAATTCCTTTAGTGCAAATAACTTTTCCTACAACTTCATGTTTTACGTAAAGTATTACGATGTTAAAAATTAGTTGGGAATAATAATACCCAGAAAATGGAATGTTTCAGTAGGACAGAGGTAGTGAAATTAGAAAAGGATCCTTGTGGCAGTAAGGAGATTAATGCCTTTTTATTGTTTTGTTCACCTCCAGAGGTAGCAGAGATTATGAGTGCCAGCTTCTGTGCAAGCACAATATGGAAATCTGTGAGATCCAAACGCCATATTACTTCTTTTTAAAAATAATTTTTCACTAGAATTAACAAGGCTCACAGCATGACATTATTATTTTACTTATGTTGGGTTTTGTAAGTTTCCCCTTGTTAGATATATTTTTAAAGCCTGAATTTAAAAAATAGGGGGGAAAAAATCTAAAATGTTTATGGGAAATGTGAACTCGTATAACAAACGGACAGTGGAGGTTATACAATTTTTCTGAATGGTTTGTTCCATAATCGTGCAGGGATTCTGGCACTTTTTCTTGACGCTTTTGGTATTGTTATGGATGGGATACTCTATCAGAAGAGATACTCTATCACAAAGATCTATCTGCTTTGATCTCATAATTTCTGTGTTCCTAAACTGCCTTCCATGAGGACAAGCTGGCGATCCATTGTTTGAGCCACAGTCACTGTTGCAGTACCAGGATGCAGAACTGCAACATGATTTTCCTTTCAATTGTGACATTAATTAAAACAACCTAAAGAGTAAAAAAGGATCAACTGGTAATAAGCAGTTATAAACACCAATAAAACCGCATGGCAAAACCAGTGTTACGCTTAGCTGCACTGAAGCTCCAAAACCATACAAAAACAATTCCAAGCAGCATCAGTAATCTTCCTCTACTTTACAGAATAAAACCTAGAAGTGCCTTCGATTAAAATGACTACAACCACAACCTACCTTCCTCCCTCAAAACAGGCAACACAATGGCTCTGCTCCAAAACCCAGGCAACCAAGAAACCAACTTCTCCCTATTGCTTACCCTTGTTTTCCACTGGCCTCGAACTGAAACCACAGTTGTTCGTGCTGTGTGCGTGTCAGTGAGTTAACTACCGCCTCCATCAGCAGTCACCCGGTCGCATTGGGTTTTGGCCCTACACACGGACTGAACCCTGTTTTATCCGACAGGGCCAGAGCTGACCCTGCAGCGCTCCCCCAGCTCAAGACATTATCATTTCCAGTTAAGCTCAGCCCTTAATTTCTTTGACCCGAGCAGGATGAGGCAGGACAGGGGGAAACACAGCGTTCCCGCTGCATGTGCCCCCAGCACTATATTCACACCTCGTTTTCTCTTGTTGTTCCCCCTGCACCAACGCTGTCTGTGTGCTCTTGGAGGCCGGCTGCGTAAAGCAATACAGTGCAATCTGGGTGCATGTCTGCTCGCACACAGAGGAGAAGAGGTGCGCTGAACTCCTCTAGTTCATCTCGTACTGACTTTCCATTGGGTAATCTTTGAATTAATAAAACTGGAACGAAAGAAAACCTCACAAATGCACTGGCAGAAAAAACCCTGATAAATGTTTAAATTATTAAAAATCCAATATTTCAGAATGCATAACACAATAAAAAGAGTATGACTACCCCATACAAAAGACTGCTAGGATAAATGGCCTTGCATTGAACAGATTTCCACTGTATGAAATAACGAATGGCTGAATTATCTGAACAAAAAAACCTCTGTGAATCTTCCTTTAAACTGGTTATTCCTTAGGAATACATAAATCTTCTTAGGCAGGGCACTCTGCCATCTGTTTGCTGTTGGTTATTTTTGCAGCTCTGGGGGCCAAAGGAAAAGGGGGAAAAATTACTTCTGCTAATAGCAAAACAGAATTTATAGCACGGTTTCAATGCTCAGAAGTAATTTTATTTCAGCAAGCCAGACAAAACACATAACTACACAAACAAAACATAATATTACCTGGGACAGCTCTGGTGGGGGAAAAGCAAGCTATTATCTAATGGTCTTTTCAACAGCTTTTCCCTCTTCATCCAGACAGGGAAGTGTGCTGTCTGGACTAACCAATGGCTTCCAAGCCAGCACTGGAAGAAACCTTTCTTTTTGTTTTTTTTTCTTTCCTTTCCTTTTATTTTCTTTTTAAAAGATCTTACTGATTAACAGCTTCTTTTCTGTTTATTCTGCTAACCAAAACTGTAACATAATATTCTTGAAAAATAAGACACTGTTAAGTGTCTCAGGAGCTCCCATGTAGGTAAAGAAACCCTCTGCACATACCAGACACTAGAATCTCACAGTAGCCATTTTCTCCCAGGAAGCAGGGACATAAAAAATTGCCAGGGAGGAAAGGCAGGGAGGAGGCAGGAGATGAAGGAACGACACAAGCTAAGCAGGGCAGAGAGGAAGATACTGAAACACAGGCTCTTGGTAAGATACAACTTAAGGAGTAGGGCATCTCTGAAGAAATAAACAAAAGTAGAAACAAAATCAACTAAAATCCCAAATCAAATCACCTTAGCACAACCTATCCAGCTTTCAGAAAAACTTCAAAAAAGCCCAAAAGCTGACGCAATCAGTAAAGCATGCACAGAGTATTTGGGAGGATCCACTTCAGGGTCACTGAAACTCCATCCAAACCCACCCCAATCAAAGAATTGATCTTTACTGAAGCATTATCTTGATGGAGGATAATTGTCAGGAGTTCAAGCTGAATACAGACTATAAAGCACACTTGCACAGATTTACTTCATAGTGTCATTGTCTTCACAGTCACACACAAAGCTGCAAAAAATTCCAAATTCACAAGTCACGACATGAAGGATAAATCCAGCAGCTACACTGAATATGCTTTTTCTGCAAAAGGAAATTATGATTAAATTTCATATACTGATATTTAAGTAAGTAAATGAAGAAACCTTATATATGGTTATATGGATTTTGGAAACAGTAAATATGGCCTATGTTTTCCGAATAGAGTAATTATTTTAAGTGCTACACTTACAGAATCTTCAAGTCAGAGCAGGTGCACATCTCTTTTTTTAAACCAGTATCACATTAAATAGCTGAAATTGCAATCTTAGGAAGGAAGACACTGAAAAGCAACAGCAGCCTCTTAAAAGATGAGGTTTTTCTCTTTGCCTCTATTGAAGGAACACACACACACACACACACACACAAAAATACGTATACTTGCTAGTCAACACCTATGTCAAACTGGGTCCGAGTGTTGCTGGAACTGTTCAAAACACTGTATTCATCTACATGCTGTGCAAAAGGACTTAATGAAAAATGCATGAGTTACTGTACAAAAAACCCGTGAATACCTTAGCCTAGTTTCAAATCACTCCAAACTACCCAGCAGGGGTCAATTGACTGAAGGTGGCTATCCCTCTGCCGCCAGCCCAGGACTGGGACCGTTAAGCAGATTTATGGAGGAAGGTCACTGCTGGAAGGTTACCCACCATTACCTGTTGAACTGTTCACCATGTTAGGTGCCATGCTGTAAGGAGGAGCCTGCGGGTTCATCAAGCCAGAGCTGTTGTTCATCGGCTGAGTGTAGGGGGAGCTGGATCCCATGATACCGCTCTGATTCATGGCAGGAAAATTGCCTTGCCTACGAGAAGAAAAAGCACACACACGATGTCTCATTATGTACCTCATTGCTGAAGATGCTGTGGTTTGTCACAGAGTACATCTCCTATTGTTTGCAAATAGCTAAGGAGAAGACACGCAATTAGTTCATTTTACCTACAAGGGGAGCCATTAGTCTTGAATCAGTTACTGTATATCTGAGACGGAATTGGACTGAACATGAATTTCAAGAATGTATACAGTGTCTTTATATGTCACAACCAATCAACAGAAAAATACAACTCATATTATTTATCCCATGAGTAGACACCAATGTGATCAGGAGTCAAAATGAGAACCCAGAGTTGGCATAAAAAATTTCAGTGAATTGCAATTTTGACCACACAATAGACAACCTTGCCTGCCGTAGCTTAAAAAACAATGAAATGACCAGAACAAAAATGGGTACCATAGAAATCTGTTTCAGATTTCTGTATCTGATGTTATCGCACACACCTTGGTTCCTGTAAAGCACTTCCAGTCCCAGGGTGCAAAGGAGAAATCCAATTGCATGTGAACATTTATCTTGAGCGTAACTCATGACCAAAAGTGGCATTCACACAACTCCATGTGAAATCACATACATGTAACTTCCTGCTTCTCTTCTTCCTCAAAGCAACTTTTTCTTTTTTTTTTAAATAACGCAACATGTTCCCATTTCCAGTACTGATCTAGGGCCCAAAGTTATTTAGCAACCACTAAAGCAAACATAAACGTGACTGCAGCATTGAATAAAATGTTCATCTTGTTGCACATGCCATCTACATCCGGTCTTTCAAAAAAACCATGCACATAGTACATGTTGTTGAAACAAGAAATGTCTGCAGAACTATTTTGGTTTTGAAAATTAATCACATATCTGTATAATGCTTTCATAACTAAGACTTAAGCTTATCTGAAAAACTGCCTTGAATGAAGCCCTTACCTAATTCTGCACATCTTCAGATGCAAAGATCTTCAGATCAAATATTTTTGAAGGCTAAACCCGACCTACTCTTTAAGTTCTAAAAAGTATCTAAGTACACTTTGTACTTGACTTTGCAAATTCTGTAGATAAACTGAGGCACAAGGAAGAAAATAATCCAATCCAAGTAAGAAGAATCACCCAATGTAATGCTTGATCTGACTTAAAAAAACCCCTTTTACTATTTTAATCCATAACACAATTATCTGCCTTTTCTTAGTATAGTTGAAGACTGTACATATTATGATTTTTATATGGATATAGACTTATACATATAAAATCATATACAGAGATAAAAACATATGCAAAAATATACTTACTTGTATATTCATAGCCTATGTAGGAAAATACAAAACTCAGACCTGTTTCTTCAATGTACCCCTTGTCAATTTATGCTGTTTTTCCAAATAAAGGAGACTAGAAAAGAAGCAACCACTCCTTTACATTGCTTTGGTACCTGTCTAGCTTTTTTTTTTCTCATGAAAAACAAAGCATTTGATTTTATCCTACAGGCAGGGAAAGCTGCATATGCTGGTAGCAAGACAGAGTTTTGGTATAAATTCTACTTTTCATTATTATACAGTATTCAAACAAACCAGACAACCCCCAAACCAACAACCCTGAATAACTTCAATGGCTTCTTGTCTTCTCCAAACTCATGGCAGATTCCTAACGCAATTGGTAGAAATGCATTTCTTTTTTAGCAGGTACAGGAGGCAGACCATTAAAGCACTATTTGGCCTAATTTTTCTTGACACATTGTGAATTTCTTCAAAGGAAAGAGAGTGTGTTATCTAAATAAAGCATCTTTCTCCAAGTCAGTTTTGTCCTTTGCTCTCTGAAGACAAACTTTTCTTCACTCTTGCAAAGAGGCAAAGGCTTTCTTTTGATATGAAGGAGACAACTGCCATACAATGTCATTTCCCTGATGAAGCTTGCAACGAGTAGTGGAGGGAAAAGATTTAAAATGCACAGTGGTGCAATGCTCCAAGGGAAAATTACAAAGGGAAAAGAGAAGAGCAGGACTATTTGGCAACAACTTTAAAAGATTTCAGTCACACAATCAAGCTTTTCTTATGTAAATACTGTATCTTAAACACCCCCAGCCCCCTTTTTTTAGCTGAAAATTGCTGTACTTCAACAAATGCAGTTAACTGAAAAGTTCTTTCTATGCTGGATAAGTGAGATCCTTTTCCTTACTGGCTAAAGGTACTAGTAAGGATGAAGCAAGTGTGCAAATGTATTTTTTACACTTTAAAAAAGAAGTAATAGATTTTGAAAGGTTCCTTTATGGAGTAAGGCTAGGATTCTGGAAAAGACCGAAGTCTCTACATGTACCTATCTCTCCAACGTCCTTCTTTTGCTTTAAAAATACACGAGACACGCACCTTGCAGGTAAGCTGAAATTGGTCCTGACCTACTAATATTTCAATACTATTACTTCTTATAGCATGTATACCTTCTAAGCTGTGGGGCTGTTCACTGTCTCAAATTGAGGTACAACCGATTTCATGTTACCCACTATGGACATCAATCTCAATTGTTGCTCATGAAAGCGCAATGCTGTACAACAGCTTTACACCAACAAGTATGAAACTATTTCCAGTTTAGATGGAGAGTGGAAATTAAACAAAAGGAATATACTTGCTCTGTCCAGGACAGCAAGAAAACAACTGCCGTCTAAAAAAATTGCTTCTGTACCCAGAAAGACCTGCATGGCAGAACCTAATTCTGAAATTTCATCTGGCAAGACAGTACCTTTCCCTTTCGTCCTCCCATGTGATGCCGCACTTGGAATGGACACAGCTCTCCATCTCTGGAAAGAGCCCAGCCAAGTGAAAAGGCTCAGCACCACCCTTGGCAGAACTTTGTCCTTCCCTGGTCCCCTCTCAAAGCACTGACCACAGCACACGTGAGCTAATTCAGTAACACTGAAAGGCGACATCCTCTAAGAGCAAATGTTATTTTACCCTGAGATTGGGTACGGTACGCAGTACGGAGCTCCTCCACATATTATTCTGCTCTATGATGACTTGGAGTGGAAAGTTTCTTTAGGGAGAAATAATCAGGTATTACTTCAGCCTTTAATTCTCACTCCACAGTGGGCCTCCTTTGAGTAAAGACTGCCGACTGTGACAAATTGTGCTGCATCAGTGCTACAATATGAAGTGGAGTCCATTAAGAACTGAGCTGAGATCACCAAACTCATTTTGATTAACCTCCAGGTCACTAAACACTTATAAATATGTTACACAGCAGCTGCTAAACATATTTATATATGCTTAAGGTCACAGCATCATCTGTTGGTTGTTGGAGTTAAGTCAAAAATCTTATGCTTCCTTCTGTGCTGCTTTTAGTAAAGGCATATCCAACGTACTATTTAAGAGACAGTTATCTCAAAGCATACTACCAGACTCTCTCCTACATCTCCCATTTCCCTCCTCCATTTTTCTGGGAGGCTAAATAAAAATCAAGTCTTTTAAAAACAGTCTGCTGTACACGTAGTGACATCTAATGGCAAAATTTCAACTGACCGGCTATGAATTCTAGAGCAGAACCAACCCACTTTACGTAAGCGATTTTACAATATTTACCACGTAAACACCAATGGTTGGGTTGCTTAGGGATGACACAAGTCATAATTAGGAATAATAGGAAGAAACTAAGAATATAATGAAAAAAAGTCTTCATGGTGAGATGCAGTTATCCTTGAAGGGAGTGAAGTTAACCCCAGTAACTTGACACTTTTGCACACAGACAACACATTAGAAAATGAACGGGTCAGAGAAATCCTGCATTACAAATGAACCAGATGACCCGTCAGGTATTTTCCAGCTCAAACTCCTCCAATACCGTGATCCCAGATCACATATTTTTCCCCATTAAGAAGAAAAAGCAGCTGGGCCAATACAAATTTAGGATTACGCTATCAATTTAAGCACCATATGTAAGCCCAAGCATTTCTTTTTTCTGCTCTATTGCTACAAGTAGATCTCCAAGTATTCAGCAAATGGAAGAGATTAAAAATGGGAAAGGGGGCGAATCTGCTTGCTTTTTGTGGTTTATTTACTCTGTTGACAACTTAGTAATTCACAGCACTTGCATAATGCCAGAGCCAGTTGTTATGCTTGAGGAAAGAGCTGCCACCCAGGGGGACCTAGACAGGCTGGAGGAATGTGCTGACAGGAACCTTATGAAAGTCAACAAGGACAAGCGCAAGGTCCTGCACCTGGGCAGGATGAGCCTCCTGCAGCGGTGCCGGCTGGGGCTTGACTGGCGTGAGCGGCTTTGCTGAAAAGCCTCTGGGCATCTTGGCAGACAGGGAGCTGAGCCTGAGCCAGCAGAGTGCCCTGGCAGCAAAGAGGGCCAACAACATCCCGGGCTGTGTGACCAGGAACAGAGCCAGGAGATGGAGGGAACTGATCATCCCCTCCTTACTCGGCACTCATTAGACTCCATCTAGAATATCATGTCCAGTGTTGGATTCCCCGGTGAAGGAAAGATGATGATAAACTGAAGTGAGTTTAGCAGAGGTCCCCATAGCTGGTCAGGGCTTGAGCACTCACCCTGGAAGGGCTGAAGGATGAGGGCTAGTTCAGCCTGGGGCTGAGACAGCTTTTGAGAGGAACCTAACAGCAGCCCCCCAGCACCTAAAAGGAGGTCAGCAAGAAGATGAAGACAGGCTCTTCGCAGTGGGGGATGGTGGGAGGATGACACTCCACAGGCAAAAGTTAAAATATGAGAAGTTCATACCAGATGTAAGGAAAGGATGTAAGGAAACCCTTTTCCTAGTGAAAACAGTCAGGCACCAGATCTGGTGACCCAGAGAGGTTGTGCAGTCTCTGCCCTTGGAGGTTTTCAAGACCCAACTGGATAAAGCCCTGAGCTCTCACCTGAGCCTGCTGAGAAGCAGGTTGGACCACAGACCTCTCCACGTTCCTTCCAGCCTGAATGACCCTACGATCCTAGATTGTCAGCTTCATAGTGCTGTTGATAGTCTGGTGTACTATAGGGTCCAA